GTGAACGTGGACCTCAGCAAATAGCCAACAGACTACTTGCACAGACTCTTGGGAAAAGGCCTGGAAAGAGGTGCTGTCAATTACATGTTCTGTCACCCAGCCTATTCTTGCAGCCTAGAAGTGCCTCTGCCTAATTTTAATTGTTTTGCATCTGGCCAACATTAATGTTATTCCCCTCCAAATCAATTTGTTTAATTTAGAACCCTACAAAATCTAGAATCACACGTTCCTTTGCTCTCGATATTTAATGAATGAGGGAATACAAACTGAAAGATTGCATTTAGAACATATTACTCCTGCTAAATTGAGCAAAATAAATGGAGCCTCTTCTCAAAGCTGTTGGAAAGAAGTGTATAGAAAGTATTTTTCACATCTCCAGTGCTCGTGTGCATATGTAATAATTCCTAAGTCAATGAGAAATCTGTCTAGAAGCTCTGGATGCACCTCTAACCATCTGTTTTCCTTTTGGGCCTTTTCCTACGATTTAATTTGATGAACTATTACAAAGATTTATACTCTTGTCTCATCTGTGCAACACAGGACGTAATTGCTGGAGGCTGGAGAAGGGCTGCATCACAGCCCTTTCAGCAGGGAGGGAAGGGTCAAAAATAGAGTGAAATAAAGCTCCTGTTGTGCCCACAATGCAAAGGGAGAGCATTCCATACCTCACCAGTGATAGATTCAGGAACAGCTACACAACAGTGTGGGTGCAGCTTCATGGACTTCAGCCCATCTGTTCCAGCATGCAGTGCTCCTGATGATCAATTCAAACCCTGCTTTGCAAATTACTCGACCCTGAAGGGTTTCTGACCTTGACAAACTACAGCATAACTAACACGCTTGCCTATTTCTAAAAAGTTGTGCTTCTATAAGGAAGGGAAAAGACTGTTTAAGGTGTCCCTTTTAAGGCTGTCCCTTGGAAAGCTACAATTGAATAAAAAGATTTATAACTGCCAGCATAAAGCCTTACTTCCTATGGTGGTAGTTGTCTCTGAAGAGTTTAATTCTTTGAAATAAACATAAGTTGGAGTGCTTTATGAATCTGAGTGTGAAAAGTGAATGCACTTCAGCTGCATCAGGAAGAACCAGGTACTTCACACCAACGTGGCATGTTTCAGAGCCACTACATCATTTTGCTGGTTTGCTTCCCCCCTCATCTCATTTTGTAGAAGTATCTGACATTGCAAAGTGTCTTGTGACAAGAAAAACCAACTCTGCCTTTCTGTTATGAGATCAGAAGGCTTCCAAGGGAGAAGTTACAATCCTTCCTCGCTTGTTGCTTTCTTGCAGTGCTGCTGTCCTTCCACCAGCTTTTCTTGACATGCTCTCCAGACCACTGTCCACTCATATGGAAGCTGTACAACCCATCTTTGTATTATAACCATGTCAAACCCCAGCACACCATCTCAGATCACCTACTCTGGCTGTTCTCTAGGATCCCAGGTGTCGTCAAATTCGGATCCTTCCGGGACCTCTTCTGTGCTCCAAATAGTTTTGTTGTGTTCAGATTTCACTTGTAAGGTATCTGTAAGCAATAAGAAAAATCTCTGTTTCTCTCCCTTGGTTTGCTGAAAACTTTCAGATTTCTAGACTCTAGGAAAAAAACCTTTTCAACAAAATAAATTGTAGCTAATGATCTCATTCCCTTCAATATTATAAAAGATCATAATTTGAAGAAGGAGGACATTTTCTATTCCTTTCCCTTAAATCTCCTTTACCCAACCTCTATGCCAAGGAAATTGTCCTTTCAGGCATAAAATATCCAGCGCTTCAAAATGATTAAAGTGGAGAATGATGAAATATTAATCTTCCCCCATGTCTCTGACACGAGACTTTAAGTGAGCAGAGTCACTTACAAAAGGATCTCTCCCTCACATATAAAGCCATCAGTGATTGAGCACAGTCCAGATGAGGTACTGATGACTCAGGAAAGTCCATAGCAGAAGAACATGGGCTGTCCCAAACCTACAATGAAGATGGTCACACTGACCAGGGCTTGCAGACAAAGAGCAAGGTACAGTAAGAAGAAAACAGAACAGATGTTCTCAGTCTGTTGAGGGTAGTCCTGAGCTAAGCTCATTTCTCATGCCACATGTTCTCATCGTTCTGGGGATGATGGCACACAACTGTGCTTCACAGCACACCTCTCAACCCCTCATCCTTCATCCAGACTCAATTTTGTGCAGTTCACCCCATGAAGATCCCTCCAGGTGCCCCCTTAGAAGCCTACCCCTCCTGCTTGCTCTAGGCAGTAACAATTTCCTGAGAGTATCTCTATGGAGCTTTTTGCTGCCCACTTATGACTCCTGCCAGCCCACATTCTGTGCTCTGTTTATCATCACCACTGGAAGTGCTGCCCTCCAGAGTTACCTTTTCTGCTGCTCTTTATATATTCTGCAGTTAAGTTTCCAGGAAAACAAGAATTTTAGTGTAACTATAACAATGTAATGATGCTTCCACCTCAAAGGTCCACTCACTTATTGAAGTAAACCATCTGTGATAACTTGCAACAGCTGTTGCAGTCTGTTAACACACAACTGAATGCTAAGATATACAAACACTCCTTACCACTGGTCTCTTTCTTTACTGGTCCAATGCTACCAGGAGTCATGGCACTGACAGAACAGCACGGCTGCAAAAACCCAAATGGGACTCCAATTAATTATCACAGACCACAGCTCAGTAACAATCACATCAGTAATTACAACATGTTATCAGAAGTCACTGCTAGAGCCAAAAATTCCCCCACCATTTCATGACTGAAGCACGGATTCTCTCTCCCTCTCACTAAGCACAGCACCCCAATGCACAGGGTGCAGGCAGGACTACCAGAAGCAGTGCTGCAGCCATCAGTGCTTCTCAAAGATTCGTTTCCATGACATTTTGAGAAAATTGTTGTGCTTTGCCTGCCATGAAAATATTGCAAGAAGCCAAGGGTGCTACGTGCAAATTCCTTTTAACAGTAGAGATCATATGAGGCAACAGCATTTTCCTCTAATCATGAATCAATTTAGTGCTAATAGGCCAATGTGAGGCATTTCTATCTACGTGTGAAGATCCCTCGGTTTGATAGAAGTGCCTCATCTGCAGAGAACATTAAATTAAATCCAAACAAAGATTTCAAATTGCCCAGCTTGACTCAGGCTTAATTGACAGAACTTGTAGCAATTTTCCCTTTCTGCCTCTGAAGTGTCATTCATTTTATTATTAAGATGTAAACAAATTATTTTTAAAATCAGGATGTTTACTGCAAAGATGTACAGTGATAACTCCAGCTTCAGAAAGCCAGCATTTAAGAGCTGAAGGACAGCTGGAGCATGAAGGACTGCATTTACCAGCTACAAAAAAGAACTTCTAGGAGATATCTTTTCCCCAGATGCCCCAATGGCCACTGCTTGCACACAGCTGCCAGGCCAGCCAGCTGGCTCTGCTCTGAGAGCTGATGAGGAGCTCAGATGCTCACTGTTTTTGTTATCAGTGTCATAATGCAACTTGTTCAAAATTCTAAGAGACTTGTCAACGTTTTCAGCAGTCTCTGTGGCCTTGGCCATCATATCTAGTGGCACCTGTGGCCCTTCCTGAGTAGAGCAAGGCAGATTGTTTCTCCCTAGCACCCGTGTGTGCCTACATAACTGCACAGCTCCATGTTGCAGGTGCAAGAGAAGTTCTTCTGTGATTTGCTTCAAGTCCTGAGATGAATTGATATAAAAGAACACAGAGATATTTCTCTCAATAATCGTTCAGATCGTTCATTTTAGTATGATTACTCACCCTTCCCCGTTCTATAGTCCCCAGTATGCCTATTGTACTTCTGTGATCAATTGTCCTTTTTTAATGCCTGGTACAGAATTAACACATTCCACTTCTGCTGGATGTTTCAGTCTTTACTCAGAAGCTGCATACTGCTGTAATTGCCCCCACCTCCAAAAGACTTCAGGGAAAAGCAGAAGGAAATCTAAGCACTCAGCGCTCTCTCAGCCACATCTCATTTCCTTCAGGCTAAAAAAATAAACATCCCTCCCATTCTGTTTATGAGAGTGGATGGTGATAGGACAAGGGGGAATGGTTGTAAACTGAGACAGGGGAGGTTTAGGTTGGATATGAGGAGGAAGTTTTTCACCCAGAGGGTGGTGAGGCACTGGAACAGGTTGCCCAAGGAGGCTGTGGATGCCCCATCCCTGCAGGCACTCAAGGCCAGGCTGGATGTGGCTCTGGGCAGCCTGGTCTGCTGGTTGGTGACCCTGCACATAGCAGGGGGTTGGAACTGGATGAGCATTTTGGTTCTTTTCAACACAGGCCATTCTATGATATGATAGGATATATTCTTGTGGCACCCAAAAATATCTCCTAGTTGTCTCAGCCATTCCAAAACCATCCTAGGCTTTATTTCCCTCTTTATTTGCACAGTGAGGTTTGCATCTCCTTAGTCAATAATGTTGGGCACTGTGAAGAAATCACACAAAAGACTCACACCGAAGTCATCGTCGTCCTCATCCCCACGTGCATCACTGAGCAGCTTGGCAAGGGACTGCAAAGAGCAGACTGCAGAAACGTCCACCTCCATCCTCCTCACCTGCAGGGAAAACCAGCACCACGTCAGAACAAAGCCTTCGCACTGCGCTGCCCTTCTCCAAGCGCTGCGTGATAAGTACCAAATGAGATCAAAACCGCACGTACCTCGCCTTCCCCTTGTAGCCTGGGTCTCGGAACGCAGCGCCTCACGTCACACAGAGCAACGCAGGACCGCGAAGACCCAACACCGCCACCGCCTGCGTCCGTCGTTGCTGAGGTAACGGCGCCCCGCTCCTTTTCCCGCCTCCTTTAGCCCTCGCAGCCAATCCAACAGAGGCGAGCAACGAGTGGCGGCAAGATCAACCAATCGTTGACGAGAGCGGGAACGCGCGGCCAGCGGTTGGTCAGTTGGGGAGCGCGAGAGCGGGCGCAGACGTTGGGCGCATGCGTCAAGTGCGTTATCAGCGTGCGTCATCGCAACGTCATCTGTGTGCGCCTTCTTCAACGTCATCGCTGTGCGCGGCTGTTGGTGGCCGCGGGAGGTTGGGAGCGTGGGTCCGTTCGGGGCTCCGGGTCCTGCAGCGCCGCGTTCGCCGTTCCGGGCGGGGCTCGGTCTGCTCACGCTTCTCTCCTCGCCCGTCTCTGCACCATGAGCCAGTTCAACTTCGGTTCGACTCCGGCGGGAGGCGGCTTCTCCTTCAACACGCCGAAAACGACCGCCAGCACCACCGCGGCCACCGGCTTCTCCTTCACGCCCGCCCCCTCCTCGGGATTCACGTTCGGCAGCGCTGCGCCGACGCCCGCCAGCAGCCAGCCCGTCACGCCCTTCTCCTTCAGCACGCCGGCCAGCAGCGCGCTGCCCCCCGCCTTCAGCTTCGGGACGCCCGCAACAGCCGCCACCGCCGCCCCGGCTGCCAGCGTGTTCCCGTTAGGGTGAGGGCCGCGGGTCGGGCTGTGGGGAGCGGGGTGGGCCGTGTGGGGAGCCGTCGGACTTCTGGTGCCGGTGCCCTGGGATCGGCGTGTGCTTGTGTGCCTGTAACGAGGCCTTGGGGCTGTGCTGGTTCTTAGAGTGGGGTTCATGCAATCGTGCGTTTTGAGTTGGAAGGGGCACTAAAGGATGGCAGAGCCCGACTCCTGGCTCCACACAGCACCATCCTGAAATCAGACCTTGTGTCTGAGAGCGTTGTCCCAGCACTCCTAGAGTCATAGAATGGTTTGGGTTAGAAACCCAAAGGATCACAAATCTCCAACCCCTGCTGCATGCAGGGCCACCAACCTCCACATTTAACACCAGCCCAGGCTGCCCAGGGTCCCATCCAACCTGGCCTTGAACACCTCCAGGGATGGACGGGGCATCTACAGCCTCTCTGGGCAGCTGTTCCAGCACCTCACCGCTCTCACAGCAAACAACTTCCCCCTGACATCCAACCTAAATCTTCCCTCATTCAACTTAAAACCATTTCCCCTTGTCCTGCACTGTCTGCTCCTTGAGGACCAGCAGCAATGCCCACAGCCCTCTGGTGAAGAACCTTTTCCTGAGGTCTGCAACAACTTATTGCCTAAGCATACAGTTCCATCACACTATCACAGCATTTGGTGGCGCATCCTTCATTTTGCTGAATCAACTTGAACTTCAAGCAGACTTCATATGTTAGAAGAAAAGCTGTGCACAAAGTCACAATATGGCAGCCTCAGTGACATCAGTCTCTGGTCTGTGTGAGAGCAGTGGGGAGGGAACTGAAGTTGGTGGTGAGTGGTAAAAGGTGACTGAAAGAACAGCCTCAGGTAGAGGAAATGAAAAGGGTGTCTGGGGGCTGAGAGTTAATGGCTTTGTTGATGCTACTGCAGATGTCTTATAATGCATTGGTGCATGGAAGTAATTTAGGGAGTGTCAGTGTAAGGAGACAGAGTTACAGATGGCAGGACTTGTAATGCAGTCTTTGTCAAAACAGGAATACAATTCTGTCCAAGTGTTCATCATTCTGAAAGGTTTTCTGCTGTTTTGTCTGCATGTGATCAGTAAGAATGCCAAGTCATTGTTTCACTGGATGCATGACTTAAACAGACTGGCTCACTTGTCTTCCTTTTTTCCCCTTTTATAGGGGAAATGCACCAAAACTCAACTTTGGAGGCACGAGCACAACTCAAGCTACTGGAATCACAGGAGGCTTTGGGTTTGGTACCTCTGCACCCACCAGCGTGCCCTCAAGTCAAGCAGCAGCTCCTTCTGGCTTCATGTTTGGATCTGCCACCACCACCACCACCACTGCAGCTCAGCCTGGCACAACTGGAGGGTTCACATTTTCCAGTGGCACCACAACTCAGGCAGGAACAACCGGCTTCAACATTGGTACCACAAGCGCTGCAGCTCCTCAGGCAGCACCCACGGGGTTGACCTTTGGAGCAGCACCAGCTGCTGCTGCTGCCACCACCACTGCCAGCTTAGGGAGCACGGCCCAGCCTGCAGCAGCTCCCTTCAGCCTCGGGGGACAGTCCTCTGGTGAGTGCCTGTGCTTGGAGTGGAAGCTGTCACCAGGAGTGCTGCTGGGGGTGGTGTGCACAGCCTGAGATCTTCTGCTCACGTGAGATAAAGCTATGGCTGTGATGAGTATTTCTTATACATGGGAGGAAGATCGCTGGCTCACGGGCGAGAATGATGTTCATCAGTGTTGAATCATTTGTTAAAGCCTTTTAAGTATTGAGCTTGCTATTCCAAGTTCCATTCCTGGATAATGCAGAGCCTTTGTTACATTAAATATTAATGTTTTGCTTACACTCTTCTACTAACTTGAATATTGCCATCAGTTTCTCTGTAGTAAAAGGTTCATCTTTTTACTTCTGCTGCTCTTATCTCAGGTCTGAACTTCGGGTCATTGGTTTCAACAGCAGCCACTGGTGCACCCACAGCAACACTGACTGCAAGCACCAGCCAGGGACCCACTCTGTCCTTTGGAAGCAAGCTGGGAGGTAGGGAGGAAAAAAATGGTAGGAAATAATTACACAGGGCTTGGTGAGTCTTTTGTCCTCCCTGTAGTTTTTTAAACCAGAATCTGAAGTGTGTGAAAGCCTGATGGGCTCTACATGCACATCATCTATGCTTCTTCTGTTTGCAGTAACAACTACAGCATCTACAACAACAGCTGCCAGCACAGCTCCCCTCCTTGGTTCCACAGGCCCTGTGCTGTTTGCATCTATAGCAAGTTCTTCAGCACCAGCCTCATCCACCAGCACAGGCCTCTCACGTAAGTCACAGCACACAGATCTGTACAGGAGAGAATAAACCAGCAGCACGATTGGTGCTGTGTGCCAGCAGCAGATGCTGTGGTAATAGGAATGATTGGAAGGGCAGCTGCTCTCTGTTTGCCACCTTCCTGAAGACTTCTGTAGCTGCTCACGAAGAGCTTCAGAAGTTCTGTTTTTCACTGGGGAGCTGTGTTTAATGGGATATACAAACTGTAATGTTGTGTTCTGATTGCAGTTGGTGCCCCTTCTACTGGTACAGCTGGTCTTGGAACGTCTGGATTTGGATTAAAGCCTCCTGGAACAACAGCTGCAACAACCAGCACTGCCACCAGTAAGAACCAGATGCTGATGAAGATAAGGAAGCCTGTCTTCCTTCTAGTGATTGTGTAAAGGACCACACTAGTGTAGCAGCACAGCAGTGCTGATGTAACTGAAAATAGCACAGTATTTCTATGTCATTCTCTTTTTTTGTCTCCCTACATTCACAGTTACTTATGACTTCTGAGTTTGTGCACAGCAAAGAGCCTTTGAGTGAAAGCCTGCAAGGTTTTGAAGTTCTGGCCTGGAGTAAGCAAAGTAAAGAGATGAGCTGCTCTGTCTCTGGCCTGTTTGTGTAGATACAGGATTGCTGTGAGAGCCTAGGGAGAGACTTATGTGGGGATAGGAGGAGAGAGAAAGGCCAGGGATTGCGGGGGTGGTTGATGAGAGAGTATTTACATTTTGATTCCACCCCATTAAGCTGTTTCTTCCATATTATAAGTGGAAGATTTCCAAGTGTTGAGTTTCACAAGCTTTTCCCAGTCCAGGTGCTCAGTGCTGTATTGAAGTGGCAACCCACGTGTGAAAATCTATGGTGGAATTTGCTGCTGCAGTGCTCACATTCAGGATGGAGCATCCTGTTCTGGATGCAGTGAGCTGTCAGTGTTCAGTGTAACAACATGGCTGCTGCCAAGCTCTCAGGGTATTCCTAAAGCTTGTTTCTGGAGGCACTGAAGGATTTAGATCAATGATGAAAGTGCTGTGTGTCTGAGTGATGGCACTGCCTGATAGGTGCTCCTTTACTTTGTGGTGATGTGGGAATCTCTTCTACAAAATACTGTAGCAGCAATGTTGTGGTGCAGCACCTGGATGTGCTATTAGAAGTGTCAGCTCTAATAGCAAAGCACAAGGAGTTGGAGAGGGATAAGGGCTATGTGAAGTGCAGACTGCCAGTTCCTCGTTTTGTTAGAGCTACTAATCAAGTATTTCCAGTCCACTTCTGCTAACTGTGCCAAGGAGTGCTTTATGCCCATCCCAACACACATGGGATTTGCTCTTTGTTAAAGGGATGTGGCTGAGCTGTATATTGAACGTGTCCTTGATGTGTTACACAACAAATGTCCTCTTCTGTTGTTGGATCTGAATTTCTTTTTTCAGGCACTTCTGCTTCTAGCTTTGCTTTGAACCTTAAACCATTAACTACAACTGGTACTATTGGAGCTGTGACTTCTACAGCTGCTATAACCACAACAACAACCAGGTGAGTGTTTTGTTACAGCTGTCTAGAGCAAGAGGCAGTATTAGTGCTGGTAACTGGTGGAGGGAAGGGGATGCAGAGTTGTGAGGGTTGTGCATTGATTGTTGACCCAGTGTTCTGTACTGTCCCACGTTTCCTCTCAGTGCACCTCCTGTGATGACATATGCTCAGCTGGAGAGCCTGATAAACAAGTGGAGCCTGGAGCTGGAAGATCAGGAGAAGCATTTCCTCCATCAGGCTACACAAGTGAATGCCTGGGATCGGACGCTGATAGAGAATGGAGAGAAGGTCAGGTGGCAGCCAGCCTGGTTCTGCTTGCTAAGTTTGTTAGAGAGATGCAGTGCAGATATAATCCAGATATAGCTTATTTCTTTTGAATTTTCCTGGTATAATTGTCTTCTATTTCCAGATTACTTCACTGCACAGAGAAGTAGAGAAAGTGAAGCTTGATCAGAAGAGGTGAGAAACTATGAATACTTGAGATGACCTTCTTTATTGTTTGTTCTTATTCTCCATCATCTCGTATTGCACGGAAATTCTTGAACATCAGCCTGACCTAAATTGTGTTGAGTCGTTCACATTGTCCTTTTCAGACTGGATCAGGAGCTGGACTTCATTTTGTCCCAGCAAAAGGAGCTTGAAGACTTGCTGACCCCTCTGGAGGAATCTGTGAAGGAGCAGAGTGGGACCATTTACTTGCAGCACGCGGATGAAGAACGGGAGAGGACGTAAGAGATCTGTTTTGGATGTGTGATAAGCAGAGCAATGTGGTGATGATCAGTCAGAAATGGGGATACGGGATAATATTAGCTGTCAGTGACTTTCTTCTAATATGTAATCCTGTTTTATGTCATATTTTATGTCTTAGAAATATGGGAATTGCAATTGGAAGCTTTTAAATCAGCATGTTTTGGTGGGTATTGGTCTCACCAGCTGTCTAAGAAGGTGTTATTTAGGCATCATCTCTCAAAAAAACATAATTAGTGGTAGAAGTGATAAGAGCAGAATGCATTATGTGCAGGTTGAGCATCCTTGCAAATGTTGAATTTTAGTGGGATAATTAAAGAATTATTTGGTTCAAGAGGTGCAAATCTTGAAGAATCTGGGCCAGCTGCTCTCTTCACTTCTGATTAAAAACCTTCCAGAAAAAACTTCAGCAGTGTTATTTATCTGTCTCCAAGTGTCCAGCAGAATGGAAGATTGAGGAGTTGCCTCCTCTGTGTCTGCCATGCCCTGGTTGAAAGGCCTGGATGCTAATTCTGATCATCTGCAGTTGGTGTGACTGAGAGCAGGTTATCTGCAGCTTGCTCTGAGTGCTCTGACACACATTCTCCCTTGCATCTTGCAGCTATAAGCTGGCTGAGAACATCGATGCTCAGCTGAAGCGAATGGCACAAGATCTCAAGGACATCATTGAGCACCTGAACACATCGGGACGCCCCGCAGACACCAGCGACCCGGTAAATCCAAACTGCTTTTGTGTGTTGGAAAAGAGACCCAGGCTATAAAACGGTGCTGACACTTCATTTGTCTGCTGGTGGATGCTCTGCTTTTAGTCTCAGCCTAGGAAAAGCATTTTGTTTTATCGTTTATCGATTCTCTGGTAATGCAATGCAAGCCAACCTGGCCGTGTAGTTACTCTGAGATGAACCTTTTTTCCTTCTGGTGTAATTCTTGAATAGATAACTCGATCCAGAGCTGTTTCTTAACTTTGATCCTGCGTTCTGTTTGAGCGTTTTGTGCAAAAAGCACAGTTGTCAATACTTTTTCTATACTACTTTTAGATCTTGTTTTCACAAGGATACAAATTATGAGCTTTTTGATCCATATTACATTGATTTCAATGCTCCTTGTAGCTCTTCACTCTTTACTGAGTGGCTTTTTTCAGTAAAAATGGCACTTTGGTGTTTCAGACTGAGGTTTTTACTTTGTTCCTTTTTCCTCTTCTCACCTCAAGGCTCAGATTCACATTGTGGTGCATGTTAGGTCTGAGTCTGACTAAAACTGAGCCACAGGCACACTCTAAATCAATTTGTTTCCTTGATGGCAAAGAGAAGCAAAGCAATGCAGCTGCTGCACTGCAGAAATGCTGTGTTGGTAGAGCTGTACATGTGAGAAGTCTGATTGCTTTGCATCCCAAAGGCAGAATCCAGCACTGTCCTGTACTGCTTGTAGTTTTAATGTGCTCTAACAGTAACTCACACCTTCTCCTTCTGTTCAGCTTCAGCAGATCTGTAAGATTTTGAATGCACACATGGACTCGTTGCAATGGATTGACCAGAACTCAGGTGAGAGTCATCTTGCAGCTCTTAGGGAACATAAGTATAAAGCATGTACCTGGTTAGAAATGAGTTCCTGGAGGTCATTGAGGAATCTTCTCCTTGGATTTTCCTGATGTGCACTAAAAGCCTCTGCTGAAGTGCCACACTGCATGGAAACGTGGCATAACAGTCACTTGAAGTAATGCAGAGCAGAACATTTAATTGATGGTGAATGTTTGATACTGTAGTTACTGTTAATTAGCTTGGATTCATTCAGCTATTTCACCATCTTGCATCTGGGGCTCAACACTGAGGACAAAAAAGAAAGGAACTTTCCTGATAGGGATTATCTTGTCCACGAGGGGGATTTAAGAGCTGTGTGTGGTTTTGGTACTGACAGATGTTAGCAGCTGCAGGGGGCACTGCAGAATGAGGAGCACAGCTCTCACCAACACCAGGTGGTCTCACTGCAGCGCTGTGCCACTGCTCTCAGCAGGCACAGTTCTGGGCTGGAAGCAGCCACACTGCTTCTGACTGAGAAATAAAATAAACAGTGTTGTTGGCTCGCTTAGGTCAGAACTAAATTAGCCTTTCTTCTAGAAGATAAATGCAAATGCTTGCATTCCAGACGTGCCTTCATTGTGAAGCCTGGTGTAGCTCCTAGAATGCTGACTGTACAGAACATTAGAAAATATCAGTTTCTCTATCAGCTCCATTTCCCATACAGCGCCCTCAGGGGTGTCCTGCAGCAGCGGGTGATAACGATCTGTTCTAGGAATAGGTGTGCAAAGTGGTGCTTAACTCGTCTGACTTGTTTAAGCATTACTTGGAACTGGGGATCTTCAGTCAAATTAATGTTGCTTGTTCAGCTTTGCTTACGCTGACACGAACGGGCTTGCTGAACACACACTGATGTTTCATCCCCACGGTGGCCTCCCTGGCAGGAGAGCTGGGATAACGCCTTGTTCTGAGCTGCTTTCTCCTTCTGAGAGAAGCAGGAATGACTTTCTTTGTTACAGCAGAGTTCTGAGCTGTAGGAGGCAGCGAAAGCAGACTGTCATTTTATGCCACTTTTGCACGGTGGGTTTTTGCAAACTGACAAACTGAAATGTGTTGCTTAATATGTTACTGGAAGGTTCTGGGTTTGGCACGCTGCAAAATTAAAACTTCAGCTGGAATATCTCCAAACCACAGAGTGACATAATGCTGTAGCCCTGTTGAGTTACTTCTGATAAGCTTTCATGAAATTAAATTAAACATTGCTCTGCTTGGTGCCAAGAGAATATTGCCATGCCTCCTGCATTTAAAGATGAGAGTCAATCTGTGGCTTATTTGCAAATCACTGATTTGGAAATGTATAACAAGTTATCTATAATGTGACTGAAAGTGATCTGTATCTCCTCCGTGTCATTGCACTTTTTACTATACTTGCAATTAAAAGCTTGTTGTGGCTGTTATCCTGCAGGAAAATGCTCCCAACAGATGGGCTAACCTGTAAGCTGCCTCATTCCCAACTGCTGGAGTGTGAGGCGTGCAGGGAAACGCCTCCAGAAGGCGGCTGCTTTCAGTCAGCCTGCAGCTGCAGTGCAGGGAGGCTTCACTCTGCTCTCTGCTGCCGTGCCCAGGAACTGCACTGAGTGCCTGCAGGGCTCTGCTGTGCCACCTTCCCATCCCTGAGTGCCACCTGTTCCTGGGACGCACAGTGCGACCTGTGAGGCCATGGGGAGCTGGCAGTGCTCTGCCTTGAGCCTCCCTCTCTGAATGGCAGAACAGGGGAGGTGTTGGTTCACAGGTTGAGCGGGGCAGGGATGCATGAGGGTGGGTGTGAGAGTGAGAGCTGTTCTCCATCCCACAGCCTTGCTGCAGAGGAAGGTGGAGGAGGTGACGAAGGTTTGTGAGAGCCGCCGCAAGGAGCAGGAGCGCAGCTTCCGCATCACCTTTGATTGAAGGACTCCAAGTTCAGGATGTCAACCTCGGATCCCCGTAGAGAAGAGGTCGGTGGGGACCTGCTTGGCATCTGCTTTTTTGTTTTTTCTTTAATTGCAATAAATTTCTTTTGTTTTAAATTCTGAAGTTACTCTTTGCGGTGTCTGAGGGTTCTCCTGCTGCAGGTACACAACTGCTGCCTTCACAGCTGGGCCCCCCAGCTCAGGACTTCAATGTAAACTGAATACTTGTGATCACAGCTCCGTGTGCTGTTATTTGGGTCCTTACAGAACTGGACAGCTGTTGTGAGGGGTCTGATAGCCCCAGCTTCCCCCCATTACAACATAGGCTTTAATGAGGGGTTAAATAGGTATGCCTCTGCTTCTGAAAGTAGGATCTCATTTTCTTTTGGCATAAACTGCTTTTGTGTTTGTACCTTTGAGCGTTCCCAAAGCACCTGTATGCAGGATTTGTGTCTGACTAAAAACAGCAGCTGTTCAAGTGGGAAAAAGGCTCCTTCTGCTGCGATTCTGGGCGTGATGCTCTGCGAGGGTAGAAGAAAACGTGGAGCAAGCGTGCTGCGAAGCTGTGAGACACAGCGTTGTCGTACCGCTTTCAATAACAACGCGCTTAGTACGCCGTGCGCCCACTGCGCTCAGCCCTCCCCGCCGCCAGGGGGCGCTCGGCCGCCTCCGCCCCGCCGCCCCTCCCGCGGGTGCTGCTGGGAGTTGGAGTCCCGGGCGGACGGAGGCAGCGGGGAGCGGCGCGGCCATGCGGAGGTGAGCGGAGCTCCGGGGGGCGGTGGGGGGGAGGAAGCGGCGTGTGCACGGCAGTGTGCTGAGCGGCGTTCTGTCCGGCGCAGGGTGAGCAGCAGCGTGTGCAGCGATGAGGTGCTGCTGGAGGAGCTGGAGACCGAGGGGGAAAGGCAGCTGAAGAGCCTCCTGCAGCAGCAGCTCGACACTTCCGCCTCCATCGAGCGGTGAGTCCCGGGGGGGCACGGCTCCGACCCCGCGCGGCCCCGCTCAGCAACCGGCGGTTGCGCTGCTCTCGGTTCCAGGTGTAAATCGAAGCGGAGGTGCTTTGCCCCGGCGGCGTTCTACAGACCCTTCGGCGAGGCGGCGGCCGGAGCGCTGAGCTTATCCCAATTCCGAGAGCTGCAGGAGAGCGACAAAGAGACCGCAGCGCTGCGGGAGTTGGGGCTGTCGGAGCCCGAGATCGCGCTATGGAAGAACCGCGCTGCGGGGAAGGTTTGTAAGCAGTTTGTTCGTAACAGCCCCGTAAGCACCGGCAGGCTGCAGAGCCGCCTCCTCTCCGGGTTGAACGCCTCCAGCCCCCGGCTGCCCCGTGCGGCGGTGCTCCAACCCCCCGCAGGAGGCGGCTGGTGGTGCTGATTTGATACCGGTTCTTTTCTCGCAGCACACCGGGCTGGGAGCGGCCCCCGAAGCCGTGCAGGAGCGCCTCAATGCCATCCAGGAGAAGATGGAAGAGCGGCAGCGCATCCTGGAGCTGCCCCAGAGGTTTGCTGGCAGCAAGCAGCTGAGCCGGAGGGAGATGGAGATCGAGAATGCTCTGTTCCAGGGAACGGACCGGCACTCCTTCCTGCGGGCGCTGTACCACCAAGGTGTGCCCCCATCCCTTCTGTTCTCGGGGCTGTTTAGTAGAGCAGAGATGGTATCGCTGGGAATGCCGTGGGATGGAGTTGAGCCACGAGGTGCAGAGCGATCCTTCTGCTCCCTGCCGCAGAGGTAGGGAGCCCAGGTGAGGCTGGATCTGCTCCTGGCCCTAGGCTCGGTCAGTGGTTTATGTCCAGGAGGAATTTAAGGGATGAAGTGCCAGTGGGGGGAGAAGTGCACCGTCACACCGTGCTTCTCTATTGTGGATTAGGTGACACGCAAAGGGTAACAGATGAGAAGGATCCCATGGTTCACCTGGAGAGTGTTTACCAAGAGGTGCTGGGCAAGCAGCTGCCCGGAGAGGTCCAACCAACCACAAGTGCTGCGTGCTCGCTGCCTGCCCCTGCCCTGCAGGGCTCTGACACTGAGGAGTCATCACCTCCTGACCAGGAAGAGCAGCCAGGCCAAGAAGGAAGCCCCAGCCCTCCTCCAGCAAAGCCCCACCAGTCCCCTTCAGGGCCTGTGACTATAAAGGAGCCTGTAGAGTTCATCCCAGAGGACGAGATCTGCAAGAACCGGCTCTCTGAGGAAGAACTCCGCAATATACCTCGGTTTTCTTCCTACAATCCTGGGGAGCCCAATAAGGTACGTGGAGATGAACCATGCTTTATCCATCTTCCTAGCCAGGAATGCAGGCAAAGGCTCTTGGCTCCTGCCGGGCTGCTGCTTGGAGGTCCTTGTTCCTGTATGCGTGGGGAAGGGGACTCTGCTGGCAGCAGGGCTGAACTGGCTCCTACATTTGAGGTGTATGGGCTGGGAGTGGGTTAAGTACACCTGTTAGCACAGTACAGGCCAGCTGACCCTAATGCCTCCACAACAGGTGCTGTATGTGAAGAACTTGGGCCCTCGTGTGACGATGAAAGACCTGGTGTCGCTGTTTGCTCGGTTCCAGCAGGAGGACAGCAGGCCCATCCAGTTCCGCCTGCTGAGCGGCCGCATGCGGGGTCAGGCCTTCATCACCTTTCCTGGTGAGCTCTGCCTCCTGCCTCTCCCTTCCTCCGTCTCCCCCACTGTGGTGCAGAGCCCCCTCCATGCTGCAGGAGCAGATTTTGCTCCCTTTCCTTCATCTCGGGTCGTGTTCTTTTCTGTGGGCTGAGGGAAGAGTCATCAAAACGGGCTGCTGCATGCTGGGTTTGTTGGGCTGGGGACTCCAGTGCTGCGCTGGGTCACAGTGTGGGTTGAGAACCATTCCGCTCTTTCCTTGCAGATATTCAGTCGGCCCAGGATGCGATGCTCCTGGTGAATGGGTACAGACTGCAGGGGAAACCAATGGTGATTGAATTTGGGAAAAGCAAGGGGCCGTCGACAGAGGCTGAGGCTGCTGCTCCCTCTTCTGCTGGAGCAGTGCCCACTGCCACATAAGGGCTGGAGGAACAGGCCTTGGGATTGCCTTGCTCAGGACTGGTGGGAGCCCAAGTGCAGCTCTGTGCACCTGCAGTGGCAGGGTGAGGGCTGAACGCAGCCTCAAGGAGGGTGGTGCTGAGGAAGCAGGGCTCTCCTCTGCCCTGCTGGCACATGAGGATCTTCAGGAAGGCCGGAGCTGTGTTTTCCATGTGCTGTTATTGCACTGCTGTTGGGGTGCTCTACCTGAATGCATTCTCAGCCCTTTGTGGCGAGGAAGAGGAGGGGAAGCTGTGTAAATACATGTGTTTAGATCGTGTATTTCTGCATCTTTATTTGCATGTCAGTGTGTTCCTTTGAGAGAAAAGGGACCAGCGTGCAAGAGGGCACGATTTTGCAGACTTGACTTTCTTTTAGTGTCTTTAGTTGGTGTGTGTAATTAACTTTCTGCTGCTTCGGTATTTTTATAGGAACAGTGTAGTTTGCCTTAAGGTGGTGCTTTGGGTGCAGGAGTTGCTGGGGCTCTGATCTATTGCAGAGTGTCTGCTCTAAGTGGCTGAGCTAAAGCCACTGTTTGGCAGAGGAGCTCCATGTCCAGCAAAAATTACTCAAGATTCTATCTGTATATATTGTAAGTTATTTCTTGCACGCTACATTCCCTCCCATTTTGCCTTTTTCCCCAGAACAACTTGCAGGAAATGAAAACAAACACAGCAGCCCTATGACAGTGACTTCCCACTGCTCCATCCCACTGCAGGGATGCAGGTAAAGTGGGGAGGAGAGGCTGGCTGCATGGGAAAAAGAACAGAACAAGCACCAGAGCTAAGGTAGGCAGCCTAACCTTAGCCTTAAAACAGAAAGTTTATAATATTCTGCAGGAGGGAGGAGTTAGGCTGGTAATAAGCCATGAGCTCAGTTATGCCTGACAAAGAAACAACCCCAGCACCTGAAGCCCTGTGCAGGACTTTTCCAGCCCAGGTCTTGTTCAGCTGGACAGAATGTGCACAGACGTGACAGAGCCCTGAGATGACACAGTGGGGCTCATGTTCTCCTTCTGGTCCCCCACCCCAGCAGTGCCAACAGCCAGCACTGCCACCCCCATCCTGGCACAGTGTGCTCTGTTCCCATACCTCATGTCTGGACCACGCTGTTAGCCACCAATTTGGTAATAAAATTTAATTGGACATACTTTCAGGACCACAGCTGGCCCAAGCTGCAGTTTACCCGCTGCTCTGTTTGGCTGCCAGTCTCTTATCTCTCTCTTCAGCAATGGTCAGGCGGATGCCTTTTCCACGGGGCAGGGAGATCCATGGCTTGTTGCCCTGAAGTGAGGAAGGAAAAACCACATCACACTCTGGAACTCAGAGGGATATGAAGTCCTCCCCTTTCAATGAGGAAAAGCAGCAAGGGCCAGCCCTTGCCTGAGCAGGACAACAAGCAGTTTGGTGTCCCTCACTCAGCAGTAGGCCCTGAAGAAGCTGTGGTGCATAGGCCTCCTATTGTTCGTGTCCTTGGAGAAGGCATTCAGCCAAAGCCATCTGAACCTTTTCCAATCTAGACTTAAGAATCCAGAGATGGCAATAGTTGAGGCTCCAAACTGCCCAAGGAGGCTGTGGATGCCCCATCCCTGGAGGCATTCAAGGCCAGGCTGGATGTGGCTCTGGGCAGCCTGGTCTGCTGGTTGGTGACCTGCACATAGCAGGGGGTTGGAACTACATGAGCATTGTGGTTCTTTTCAATCCAGGCCATTCTATGACTCTACGATTTAGGAAAAAAACATCATCCAAACATCTCCAACCCTTCTGGGAAGGTGGCTATGAATTCAGAGCAGTCAGCTTCACTCAGGGAGCATACAGGCAAGCAGAAGCTGCCCAGAGAAGACACCCACAACTCATGGCTTCAAGAGGAG